GGCAAGTACATGGTGGCTGTGCAATGTTAGCTAATTACTAAATAAAAATGTATTCTGCACTTATCTTTAAAATATTGATTTCTTAATTTTGGGTTGGAAAAGTGGGGGCGTCTTGTACATGGGGGCGTCTTATTGACGGAAAAATACAATACAATATTTATACAATAAAGATATCCATATGTGTACCTAGAAACATACAACTTTGTTCCACAGCTATATTCGAGATTTTACCCAGAACAACACTATGGACCTTATCAGCTTTAACGTTTCCCCATACTTTATAAATAAACCCCACAAATGTTATAAGGGAGTTTCTTCTTTTAACATTCCATTGTTTTTCTTTATTGGATGCAGAAGACTCTGGTCCCATGTAGTAGCACTACCAACCCCAATTTAGAGTTGAGTACAATTTTGCCCATTTAGTTGACCTGTGTTTCTGTAGTGAAGCAAAAGCCAATATATTTGGCTCCCGGGAACCCTTGGATGATAACAAATCACAAATTGCCTGCAGTAAGAGAACAGGCTTGCATCTTCACAAGACCAGGAACAGTCTAATAAAGGTGGTTTCCTCCTAGTCTTTCTATTCTGTTAAGATTTTGTCTGCTATGTTCTTTTTTTTTTTAAGTAGCAGACACATTTCCAAACAAGGTTATAGATTCCAGCCTTTCTGTCTTCTAAGAATGCCTATGGGACTATTTAAGACCTAGCCGCATTCTTTAGATATAAAAAAGAAGATGTCATTTTAAAAAATACATTAAAAAATAAGGACTGATAGGGAGCATGTTCAATGCCAAGAATTCACAAGCATTTTATTATTTACACCTAGATTAAAGGGGAAATATAAAGAACTAAAGCTCCCAGATTAATTTTCCCTGAAGCCACAAATTCACTGAGGAGCATTACTCAATCTATGAGCTCTAGGCCATGTGCTTTTACTGTAGGAATAATAATTTTGGCCATTAGAATTGCCCAGTGGACATTATAGACACAACGTGTGTTAAGTAAGAAGCCCTAAGTAATGATGAAAACTTAGAACAATATTACTCTCAACTCACAGTGCATTACATGAAGCTTATTCATTTCATTTTTATTTCAGTTGCAAATTACTGAACAGAATTGTCTCTGCCGTAATATTAACATGTCTTCTTTTTTAAGGTCATTGAGGTGAGAGCAAATAGAAGAATTGGTGAGCAGAATTTCATATCTTGCATAAGGAAAGCCTTAGAAAAGCATTATGGTGACAAACCAGTTGGGATGGGAGGTACATTCATTATCCAGAAAGGAAAAGCAAAACTTCATATTATGGTAAGCCAGTTACAAGAAGAATGTTTTCCATTTTTCTTTGGGAGTGTAGGAACACCAGAGGGGGGAAAAAAAAGAATAAAATCTAAGTTTCTATAAATAAACATTTGCAAAGTTGCTTTTTTATGGGTTGTGTGCTATCAAGTTGGTGTCTATTCTTAGTGATCACACCATAATCTGGCCCACCACTGTAATCGATCCATTCACCTTGCTGCTGTTCATCTCTTCCCTTCCATGTTTCCCAGCATCAGAGCCTTCTCTAGAGAACTAGGTTTTCACATAATTTTGTCCAAATTTGAGCCTGGTCCTTTATGCTTCAAGTGAGAATTTTGGGTTGATTTGTTCAATGATCCATTTGTTTCTTTTCTTGGCAATCCATGGTTTTCTCAGGAGTCTTATTATATATAACATTATTTTTTCTTTTATTACCTGTCAATAGGGGTTAGACAAGCTTTCACCCAAATCCAAGTCAAAGCCAGATCTGTTGAGCTTTTGCACATTCGTGGGATCTCGGCCTTAGATTTTGTAGGGACTGATTTATATAGTCTTTTTGCAAGCACTTTGAAACCACTAATGGTTAAACAGCAAACATCCCCTTGTGTGGTCCAGCTGGCAGGCACCGTGTTTTCTGAGAGCGGATGATTCTTCCAAACTGCGACAGGTGAAAATGCACATGCATTAAATCAGAAGGTGATTTGTTGGTTTGGACTTAGCATGTTGCCTAATCACAGTCAATGTGGTTTATAAACTATGGTTAGGACTTCCATTTGTGGTAGTTAAGACATACATGAACCTATTAGAACAGCTCCTGATTTCTGATGATGTGATATTGGCATGTTAAAACAAAAACTAAAAAACCAAGAATGTGATTGCTAGCTATCTGCTGTCAACACTGATGAGGAAGAGAACTCGCAAACCATGGCCAGCTTATGGAATGCCATAATAGCATGTGCATGTTGGCCAGGTACATACCTTACCTATCATTAAGGTATGTTAGTAAGCTTGCTGGCTGTTTGCACAATATATTAAACTTGGTTAGTTTAACTTCAGTTGGTTCTTACTGTAGCTCAGGGCGGAGGACCTTCTCAGTGTGCATGTACATAGTTCAAAGTATTATTTTATTATTTATGTCTTTATTCATTCAATTAATTGTATTATGCAAACAGAAAGAAGGCTGATTCAGTATCGAACTTAAGCATGTTGTGCAAACTTAGCCACTAAGCAAGATTACTGGTTCAGCTCATCCAGCATTTTTGACACTGTGAAAAACCAACAAACGAGGTGAATTCCTTAAGCTATGATTAAGGGTGTTATGTGAATGCAGCCCTTGATTGGCAGAGATTTCCCAGGATTTCAGACACGGGTCTTTCTCACTGATATTTGGGGAAGTCAGACTGGCAACCTTCTGCATTTGAAACAGCCGTTTATGCTCTCATTGTGCTACTTCACTTTTGTCCCAACTTTGACAGAGACTTGAACATTTGTCTGTCCAGGCTGGAGAATTTGCTGGCAAAAGAAGACTATATCAGGGATGCAGAATTGTGTCAAAGCAAAACTTGTGTGATTTTCGTATTTGGAGAGGAGGGAAACAGACTCTGATGACTTCAATTCCTGTGTTTTTCTTCATTCAAGTATAGCCACATTTTTTTTATTTCAGCCCTCTGAATTTTCTGCCTGCCCTCTGAAAACTGATGAGGAACTGAACAATTGGCTGAAGTTTTTTGAAATGAAAGCTCCACTCATTTGCCAGCCTGTGATCGTTTCTCAAGATCCAGTAAGTCAATTTTATTGATGTGGGCCAAGGATGCTTCTGCTGTTTCTCAGGTGACATGCCAACATATTGGCCTGGGTGCAAAATGCTTATTATTTAAAATCATTATCTTCTCCTCTTGCTTTGAGTTCCATCACATGCACCAAAGGCTTGGGAAAAGCAAGATCCTCTCTTTCTAGTACAGCTTTGGTATGATACATCTCACCCAAAGATACAGATAGTACTCATTTCATGACCACAACTGGGACCGGCAACTTGGTCATTAAGTAAAACGGTCACTATGTAAAACCACGACTGTGCTTATAATCTTACTTCAGCTTTCCTTTGCTTTACAGACCTGCGAAGGTCATAAATGCAGGGATTGGTCATAAAGTTACTTTTTTATCACCATCATAACGGCGAGGGGTCACTAAATGAGATAGTCATTAAACAAGGGCTACCCATATTGCCAAAATAACACAGCCTTGTGTGCGATGTACCTGAACTGGAAGAAATGTTTGCTGCTTGGGGCCAGCCCCACAGGCAGGAATTTATGGATTCTTGGCTTTTTTCCAGGGTTTTGATCTGCGCGTGGAGCACACCCACTGTTTCAGCCATCATGGTGAAGGGGGGCACTACCATATGGACACAACACCAGAGACTGTAGAATATCTGGGGTATTTTGTGCCTGCCGAGTTCCTCTTTCGGATTGACAGACCAAAGGAGACACATATGGTGGGTCGGGATTAAAGTCAAGCCAGCCCAGGAAATTGGTTTTAATTAAGGAGCAGAAAATCAAAAGAGTTAACGAAATTTGCTTTTAACTAAGGTCAGTTGCAAGCTCGTCTTATCACAACCTGAATGTAGCATTTGTTTGGCTGACACCTAGAAATAAAAAATGGCATCATCGATTTTCAGGTTGGAAAAGTAGCACATTCAGGCTGATTGCAAAACAAACAAAACTAGGAGGCTGATTTTTACTTAAATATTTACTTTGTAGGTCATTGGCTCCCCTTCTTTCCCTCATTAGCACCTAGTTTTCAGCTGCAGTCTGGGTGGGGAATCTACAGCTATCCCAAGATTGGTGAACTGCAATTTCAATCATCTGTCATTGTGTTACACCAAGGAAAGTAAACCTTTGGCTGCATAGCCCTCAATGGGCAAAGATGTTAACTGCATAAATTGGCCCTCTTGTTCTCTACTGTGCCCTCATCAGAGAAGCAAACCTTGTTCTGCCCAAGATCCCTCTTTCTTGTTCAGGAGAATTATGAGAATACGGTCACCCATATCAGGAAGAGAAAAGATTTATTCTCATCAGTGCATCGGGGGAACCCAAATTACTGTGCAATGAGGATTGCTCCCAGGCTGAAGCACATCTGGGTGAAGTTGGGATAAAATGTTCTTGGTTCATTATACAAAGTATATGTAACCCCAAACCATGTTTCTTGCTTAACAGTCACAGAACGTTGTGACTTGTCTAAGACATACAGAGTCTGTGATGGTTAGTCATTGTTTGTGCTAGAGATATAAATAGCTTGCTTCCAGTTATCCCAGAATCAGCCATGCCCCCCTGCCAGTGATGGGAGTTAGGATGACTTATAGGTGACCTTTTAATCCTAAATGATACATACACAATCACGAATACAATGTCTTCCAGACAATTCCTGCACACTACAGCCATTATTGGCCATGCTTCTGGAAGCTACAGTAGCAGCATCTACAAGGCTATGGGTTTTCACCAGCCTTCCGTCATCTGGGATGCTTCAAGTGTGTTAAATAGATCATGGGAAGTTAAAAGTCCATCAGATCCAGAAGGCACTATGTTGGTAGTAGGCCACTAAGTACACTTTCTGGGAGTTCATGGGGAATGAAAACATTCAAGAAGTATTCTTCCATTCAGTATTAATTACATCTAGGTCAGCCTTCTGCAATTTGATAACTCCTAGATATGTTGGGTTTGCAACTCCCAGAACCCCCAGGTTTATATTGGTTAGGAATTCTTAAGAGATCATCCCAACATATCTGGACAACACCAAGTTCGAAAAACATTTCTATAAGGTATGTAATTTTCATAGAAATTGCCCAAAAAGTCATCAGGAAAAGAATAGCTGTTTTCCAAGCTTAACTGTGCTTGTGTGAATATTACCACACTTAACCATTTCAAATTTGGCAGATTTCATTCACTTACTTGTGATTCCTATGCCCCTGTATTTTGCTCTGTTCTATCAGAATAACAAATTTATAGCCATTTGATCATTTCCCCTTGTTAGTCATTGGGAGGGCACACAATTCTAATTTTAGAGCAAGGCTCCACTTCATACTGAAATGAACTAACTTGTGCCAAAACAGTCAAAGGCTAAACAAATAGTTTTGCAAAGTGTAGAGTCCAAATAGAGTTGAGTTTTTGGTCCACCTGCACTTATGAATTTATGATGTTTCCCTTCAAAGGTTAAAATTATGGTCATTATGGGGACCCAGGCTCTGCTCTCACTAACTAACTAACTAACTAAATATATCTTTAAAAGGCATTGGGTTCACACACTGTGCTATGCCATTATGGTATTTGGCTTGGCTGAGTGATGTGAACTTACTCATTGTGGCTTATGACTTAGTTTTTGATGTAAGATGAAGGTCCTCAAGTCAGTAGACTCAAGTCCATTGACTATAGACCAGTGTTTCTCAACCTTAGCAACTTTAAGATGTGTGGACTTCAACCCAGGGTGAATGCCAGCAGTCTAAGAATTTTTGCCTCAGCCTTTAAATTGAGAATCTGACATTAAGACTTTCTTTTAGTCAGTGTGGAATCTCATGAGATACAGGTAAAAAGTCAGAATTGTGAACTTCGCTGTAATTTCATTGGCATAAAACTGATTTGGAGGTTGATGCTACAAATAAATTGGACCAACTGCAGTGGCATGTCCTTTGTATTTCTTCTCGTGTGTGGAAGAGTTCTTAATATGCTTCCGAGTCAAGTACAGTACAGAAACATGAAGTCCTGCTCATTAAGAGAGTTTGGGAGGAGGGATTTGAGAAGAATTTTGCCCCAAATTTTAACCCACTGCTGATCAAGTCTGCCTTTGGAACACAGATTGCTGGATAATTGTGACTGGATGAGTGACTGAATCCCCAAAGGGTGATTCCTCTGCAGGTATGTGGCTCCGGATATCTATCAAAGATGGTAAAAACAAAGCAATCCATTTTTTAAAAATTAGCTTTCATGAAGAGGAAGGTACCAGTCCAGTAGGGAAAAGCATTTTGCCAGATTAGATGCAGAATGGCAGAAAACTGTATCGCTTCCCTAATATAAGTTTAGGGAAGCTGAAATGTAGAGTTCCCTCAGATGCTTTTTGTGAGAGCAACCTACCTAAAGCTTTTCTCTGAAGGGGAAGAGGTGTTGTGGGGAGGACAGAGATCACGACCTCATGCCAAAAGCCACATTAAATTCCAAACTTAAAATCTGAACCTCTTTTCAGCAGGGCTGACATTGTTCTCAGTTAATCCAAGCACTGATAACGGATTGTCGATGTTCATTTGGAGGTGTGTTAAACTCTTTTGTTGCTGTTTTTTGAGAGGGAAAGCATTGATTCTATATTGCAGTGTTTCTCCAACTTGGCCACTTTTAAGACGTGTGGACTTCAACTCCCAGAATTCCCCAACCAGCAATGCTGGTTGGGGAATTC